AAGACGACCTCCCAGTCACCATGAAAATTGCCCCCAACAATTTTTTACGAAACTCAACCCACTTGTCAAAAAACTAATAAATAATTCGACCACACTAGAAAATCGCCTCAAACAGCAAAAAATATTCGACAAAGAGATCATTTCTTAAATGCTTTTCTCTCAAACAGTCGCTCAAATATTTATCAATTTTAAACATTTTTTTTCAATACTTCAAGTCTTTATAATCTTTCTTTTTGATATCATCGAATCTTTTCTAATAATCATAATAATTTTTTGTAACATTTTTTTAATTTTCTACACAATAATTGAACTATTCCTCCAACTTTCCAAAACCCTTGAATATATCCACAGGTACGATTTTAACAACTTGTCTAAATGATACGAACAATTTTCAGTAGAACTGATATTTTTTTATTGTTTGTAATTTTCATAACATTTCTATCATCCCTCATTTTGACAATATGTAAATGTATAAAGAAAGCAATCATTACATTTGCCCTAGCAACAATTTTTCTAATTCTTTTTTTAGAAGAATATTATAATAAACATAAACCCTCTCACTAAAGTAACAATTTAAAAATCCATCAAAAATTGCTACCCAACAGTCACAGAATCAGTCTTCACCGACATCATCCCAAGATAATCCAACACCACCTTCAACTACTCAAAACCCTCAAACATCTACACGAATTTCTTTTCAAGACAATCCATACACCTTTGAAGAAAGGCACGCTCGTTTATCTGAACCACTAGAACCAGTTCAACGACAAGCATCCCTAAGTGAACCAACATATAATCTTTACCCAACACTACCACAAGAACTAAGTAGAATACGAAACCTTAGTCAAAACCAAAACACAGCAGAAATAAATAGACAAATTATACATCCTCGACGAAATAGAAATTTTCAAACTCCCCGAGTTCATTTTGATATACCTCAATCCCCAACACAAACCACTCCAGAAAACACCACTGGTATCACACCAGAAACTCCTACACTTTTTTCACAACGAAGCACTTCAAGTCTACCTTCAGACTACTTAGGTTCAACACCAACATCTGAACAGATACGTGAAAATCCCTTTAACCCCCCAAACCTAACATCACGACTGCCATATTGGACTACAAATTCATTCACACAAGGTGAACCAAATTTAGTCAATGACCCCATAGATATTTCTACGGATACAACAACATCCTCATCACTACCAGAAACATTATCACTACCATCAACACCATCAATAAGTCAATTTTCACCACTACCCTTTAACTTAAATTTTCCAAATAATCTCGACGCCAGATATCGAGAACAATCATCAATAAATATTCCTTTAAGATTAGATTGGAATACATTCACAGCACCTCCACCACTATTTGGACAACATCAAGAAAGTAACCGCCTTCATAACTGGGCACTTAATAGATTACAATATCGCCAAGATATTCACAACGATATCCGTGATCACAATATTCAAATACTCCAACAAAACAGTTTACAATTAAAATTTGAAATCACAGTTAAGTTAAATAATATTACCCAACATCCCTACCCATTAAATCCACCTAACATAACAGCTCAATCACTACCACCACCGTTTATAACTACTGAAGTAATATACAAATACGACAGATACACTAAAAACACAATTGGTTACATTACATTTTATAATCCATACTCAGGATTATCATACACATGTATATTCTAAAATTATTAATTTTTCTCCAAACCCTTTTTCTAATAACCTCAAATCAAAATATAAACCCTTCCCCTCGTACAGGACCACAAGATTTATTAGTAACACATTACGATTGCGAAGAAAATGAACAAAAAACACTACATAAATATGCAATCAATCAGGTATCACAATGTGAAACAGAACCACAAGCTATAGAAACCACAGATATAATAGCAACACTCTATTCAAAAGCCCGAGCAACAACAGTTACAGGTTATAAATTCACAGCAACATTTTCCGAAAAGAAAGTACATTGTTCACAAGTCTCGAACGGAAACAAAAACCGACTTGACCATGAATCATTCTACCAAAGTAATATAGAACGTCTTTTACATCTCAATCCCGACGATTGTAAAAATGAATTACTTAGACTAAACATCACAAAAAATAAAAACTCCCAAAGAAAATTAGTTAATTTTCAAGTTTTTTCAGACTCTGTACATCAATCACAACTTGAAAGACACCAAGGACGAACATCAAAAGACAAGACGACCTCACTACACTCGAGAGAGAATGACCAACTATAATCGATATGCCGCTCACAATCACAACTCAAAGGATTTAGAGTACGACTTGACCTCGCAGAAAAGGACTTCATTGAACTAGACCAATGACCACCTCGATGTTCAAGTATACGTACAGATCCGAGTAACCAGGCATCCCCTCCACGCACAATCTCCACGCCATTCCCGAGCTAGATCAAACACAAAAGAAGTTCTCTCCGAAGAACAGAAAAACCTGACATAGCCAACCATTCTGAAACCAGAATTGATGCTGTTGCAGAGACTCAGTCGTTGTCACAAGAAGAACACAACGTCTTGTGTCCTCAATTCCAGATCCCTGGAACTTCCTTAACAAAAAGGAAACAAAAGAAAAATGATGTTCGCCAAATACCAACGTCCATCATCCATCCTTGAACTACAAAAGAACTGTTCTAAAAAACTCTGTAAAACCCGGATGGGTGGAACCTGATCTAAACTATATTTTTTGATTGGATAAATTAAATGTTTTACCAATGTAAAGTATTTAATATTAACCAATCATGATCCATCTAACTAACAACCCACTTATTTGTAAGTGCTAAATTTACTTGTAATTTCAGCACCAGAGAGATTTGAATTTAACTTAGAAATTAGTTGGACTCTCCCGAGCACTTCAGCAGCCGCAATAAACCAGTATACCCTAGATCTATTGAGCCTAGCAGAGACTAGTTAAACAACCTGAGACTAGATAGTATAAGAGTAAGATTAGGATCGGTATTAGACTAAGAAGTTGCACGAATCTATCCGGCCGAAAATAAGATAGCGTGACGAGCAGACGGTGTACCCTATCCGAAATTACTCTATGAGTTACACTCCAGTCCTAACTCAGTTTAAACTTTCGGAATCCCTTTTCAAATTGCAGAATTCATTTACGAATGAGCAATCTGCAAGAACTTGCTGAATTCTCTCATTTGGGATTCAGAATTCGTTATAATGAGTTGACAAATTTTCGTTACAAGTATTTGCTTGTGAATTCCACAACAAATTAATAAATGAATTCTTTTTACAATTTGAAACACGCTTTAAGACTTGTATCCGGATTCTAGGTTCAAAACAACTTTTTTGATAATCCAATTGCATCTAGTGAATGCAATTAGTCATTAGATAATGGCTAAAACAATGTCTTGCCCCCAAACTGCTTAAAAATTAGGAAAATTTACGGAACCGGAACAGAATTCGCCGAATCCAGAACAACTTGTGGAATCCTTAAACAGATATTTATTCATGTGAGCAGCTGATTGCGTTTCCGCAAATCAGAACTTTGCCAGCGGAATACACAAATGGTTGCCGATTTCGCAGTAACTTGCGAAATTAACTATCAAACTGCAAATTAGTTCATAAATACGAAGTCTGGAAGAACATGCTGTATTCGCTCATTTGGGATTTCGTGTTGCCAATAATGTGCTGACAATTTTTATGTTACAATTATTTGCTTATGAGTTTTGCAATAATTTGGTAAGTGGGTTCGGGTCTAGGACAACAAACCGACGGGACTTCAAGCCGAAGGGACTTCAAGCCGAAATTAAAACTTTACAAGCACCCCAAAACGCTATTTTATCATCTGCAAAATGTTGCTTTTCTAAAATTTTGGCAAGTTTAGTCCATAATTAGCGTTATTCATGACAATGCACCACTTGTGATTCGCATCCGTTAATAACATCAGCCGGTTTTTGAAATGCATAAATTATAAACACGAAAAATGCCTTCAACCATGTTTTACTTTTCAACTTTCCGGAACATCATTTGGAAGCTTAAATTATATGCAAACGCCAATAACTAGTAAAGAAAGATCATGAAATTCAGAAATTCTTCAAAAAAGTTTTCAAATTGTTCATATTTCACGACTTTATAAGGAATTATTCGGCTTGAAGTCCCTAATTTTACAATTCGGCTTGAAGTCCCGTCGGCTTGATGTCCGGCACCCAGTGGGTTCCTTTTAAGATTTGGAACATATTTAGACGTCTGTATCCGGAATCTACGGTCCTAGAGACACCAACCGGTGTGCGTATCAAAAGGGCAGTTTGGTCTGGTAATGATTAAATAGATTGCGTTTTTTGAAATCTATATGTCTGCGGAGCAGCAGAACATGGGTGGGTGCGCGTCCTCTGACTTCATCTGCTTGAAAGTTAGTTTTTCGCCGGAGGATGAAAATGTTGAAAGAACTGCTATTTTTGTGTCTTTGCTAACTTCAATGAAACTGACCGGTATATACCGACAATAATCGGTGACAAATATCCAAGCACTGCCCCTACTTAAAGTCATTTAGATCAAATCTTTTAACTCGCGGCTTTTAATTTAAAGAGCCGTTTGATGAAAGTGCGAAAAAGTGTAAATATTGTAAATATCTCGATTTTCATCTGGTAAAATCAAACATTGAATCAGTTTTTCCTTCCATCAGTTTGGTGTTACTCAGTCGATTTAAGTTCCTATTAGATGAAAAAAGCTAATCGGTTTGTTTTAAAAGAGATATCAAATGCCTTATTAGTAATCTATAACTCAGAAATTACCATGGAAAATGAAGGAACTGAAATTTGATCCTCTTTACTTGTCGGAAGATGAAATCAAGTTCAAAATTGATATTGATTTGCTAGGCAGGTGAGCTAGGCTTTTTCTCCATAAAAATATAAAAAAATTATTGTGAAATATATTTTTTGGCTGTGTAGTTATATTCTTTAGTATATGTAGCATTATATAGTTTTTCATTTCGTTTATTTTCACATGTATTTTACGCTAACAAGTCTGCCATCAAATTTACTTCATCTAGTTTTACAATTTCAAACTATAGCGGCAGAAAGTGTCTCTTTTTGCATTAAAGGTTAGATTCACTGAGAAGAAAAGAGAGCATCATAACTTGCCATTACTGCTAGTTATTTCTGGAACACCAAAAAATAAGCAAACAAACAACCAAATTCAAATCTAATCAATCTATTTTTGTTGGTCTTTTTGAGAATTTTTTTACAATTCAGGGAATTGAGAAATTAGATAGCAACTCTTAAACACAGCGCCCTCATTATTGCAACCTATTAGACTATAACTAAAAAACAAACACCCACTTGTGCGCCAACGCATCTGTTTCAAACAGCAGTCGCTTATGAAGGTTGATTAATTTTCCAACAAAAATTAATGTTTCAAAATCGTTGTTGACTTGAATATTGACTACTTTTGGTCAAGTTGGCCGGTTTTTTTTGTAATCTGATATTCAATTGTAGAAATCAGTACAATAATTTCGCGTGAGAATTGTATTTCGCAATAAAATATCTAAATTTGAGTGCATTTAGGTCATAAAAGAAAACGCTGATAATTACGAGCAAAAATTGTCCGGTTTCAGTTACCGCTATCGTTTTTTGATGAGTAAAGTTGAAGTAGAATTACAATTTTTTGCGATTCTATTGCGGATCGGAACTGTCCTGCAGATCGGACAATTTTCCTCTTCCTGTTCAAATCGAAGTCTATTTAACTGCCCTAGGGTGCAACAAGTCTATCAAAATAGTAGCAGAATAGATACATATGAGTAGACCTCTCAAGTTCAATGTCAATCACTTGAAGTAGCAAGTACACTTGAGCCGTGATGGAAAATTTCAGCTGAAAATCAGGAGTTGTGTCGACTGACCAGCCAATGGAGATTTTTTGATTAATTTCAAACACTTTCATACACTACTGGCTACAACTACTTACCTTCATAACACTCTGAATTACTTTTTAAATACAGAAACTAACGCTGTTCAATAAAAAACATTAGAAAAATATTCTTTCATTTGAATTTCATTGTTTTTTTTTGCAGGTTGTATTCCGTATCGGCTACCCGTATAACATTTATTTCCTTCTTAATTTGAAAGAAAAGCTGCAATTCTTTTAATTTCCTCAATTTTTGGAACACGAGGTCAAAATCTATTCAATCTTCGTCCGGGATTCTCGCAGTATATTTACCTGATCTGATCTGAACAAGTTCGAGCTTCGGTTCATTTTCCCATTCTCTTATTTATTAACCCGCGAGCTTTTCTTTACTTTGATATGACTCTTAAACAGTAATTCTCGTCTCAAGATCTGAAGAGGAACTTGACAGCTGGAAGATTTGACGTTTCTGACTTCAGCGTATGAGCTTGTGTGCGTACATTATTCATAGTTTACGTAGCTGGAAGTCCTCTCCAGAAGGAAAAATAGTCCAGTCTTCCAGAGGATTTGTTGACTCCTTTTATTTGACTTTATTTGGCCAGCCTTTCAAAAATATATCAAAAATGTTCATAATATTTTCCTGTGCTGCAAGTCGATTGAGAAGCATTTTCGTTGTTTTATTGGCTCGAATTCAGATATGTTTATCTTCAATTCCAACTACTGGCAGCACTTCCATGCTGGATAAAAACCTTGCTGAAAATTGGATATCGAAATCGGATATTGAATTACCTAAAAAGATATACATATAATTTGGAAGCTGCTATAAAATAATGTCTCACAAATCAAGCGCAGATTTCAGTCCAAACTTTATCCGGACTAGCTTGTCAAATTTGGACAGCACAGACAGAAAGAGTTCTTCCGACCGAGTACCAACGAAAGACTCTAGAAGCTCTTTTTTCGAGTCGTCCGAAAGGGTCCAAGGAGACCCCAAAACAAACAACAATGCTGCCCCAAATCTATTCACAAAGCAGTTTCGGAGCCAAAACAGCTTCAGAAAACTAGCTGCGTCATCCACTTTAGGCGATCTGAACCTTTCGCCTAATTTTTCCTCTAGTTCGAATCGGGCGCCTCTTAGACTTCAGGCGAGTGTGGACTGCTATCCAGCGTCAAGAAGCCAAACGAGACCCCGAGCACCGACAATTAGCAGTTTAGGCCGAAGTTCATCCGTCCGAGCGAGTGCCGAGAACGACTTCAACGCCGCCAACGCCTACACTGATTTTTACCCCCATAAACGAAAAACGAGTTTCAAAACTCAACCCAACAGTTTCAAAACTCAATCGCAGACATCTTTGAGTTCTTACAGCCAAAAAGGAGCCTTACGCTACTCGAACTCGGGGGACAGAAACAGTATCGATTTGACGAATCCCACTAAGCAGGTTTCGATTTTGAAGCCGACCTTAAAACATGCAAATACGATCGCAAGTCTGACTTACGAAACAGCCGAGCTGCTGGGCACTCCGAACACGAACAGATTCTGGGAACCACAGGCGGAGAATAGCGAACTACCTAAAAAGGCAATTCTCTGTTGTTCATACCCGCATATTTGTAGTATTGATAGTTGAAAGCACACCAATTTAGGAAAATGCAAGAAGTTCCGTAATTGATGAAAATTGTTCATGACAATTATATTATTCCATTACAGGAGCTTCTTGCTTTACAGGCTAAAATCTCTTGCAGGGGTTAGGCCGGATTTTTGCGACTCGAGTTTTTACAAAAAAGTGTTCGACCTCACATTACGACTGAATTAGTTTTTATTAGCTTGTTTTGCATAAAAAAACCAGTTTTTTTTATATAAACGCTGCTTCCTTTTTCCGGGCTAAAGTTTATTAGAAAACGTCCAAAAATGAGAAATTGGGTTTTTGGAAGGTTTTTCAGAAGCGTATATATTTGACGAACTTAACAGCTGGGATTTAAAATTAGGCAACAAATGCTTCTCTTATTCATAGCCAGAAATGAAAATTATAACTAATAACTGTAATTCTCGCGAGCGGAGTTGTAACTGAAAATTGCCTATGATGACAGCCGATGTTCGCCAGTCACATTCGGAAGCTGAAGTCGTCAGTTCGTCACTTTATCCAGCCGACTGAGAACAGACTGGCACTGAAGTTGTTCGGCAGCAAGAAGGCAGTGCTGAAGGAGAGGAAGAGGTGTGAGGAGGAGGCCCCCTGGATCATTCACCCCTACAGCACCTTCAGGTACAACCCCCCCCCCCACTTTTGTTGTTGTAGTCCACTACTTTGCTCGTATAATTTATCAGGATCATGACTAGTTACAATTTACCATCAAGGTCATGATCAGATTTGCTGCAAAAAAGCAACCACTCAAGTGATAGATTACAGCAGTATCGATAAGAGCAACAAAGACTGCGACGTTTTCTTGGCATTTGCAGCTCCTATCTGTTGATTGAGAGTGCAATACAGTGCTACCTTGAACTCCCCTGTTGAGGTTAGGACGGAACTTGGTTTTGATCTAATCGGTCGAACACGCGCACAATACTGGGCTCAAAATTCGCATACCAAAACAGCCCTTCAAACGAGCACAGTCTAAACGTTGTCCAAATTAACAAGATCAATCCTTATAAAAACACACTTTTGCGACTTTATGTTCAGAATTTTGCGAGCATATCTTTTCAAGAATCTATGAAGTTATTTTCCTACATTCCAGGCTGAGTTGATTTGATGAGCAACTCGTTAAGCAGAATTTCCAGGTTTTTGCGACTTTATTTTCAGACTTTCGCTAACTTCCAGTTTTCGGAAATTCTGTCCAGTCTTTTGCGATCGAATTTTGTACTTTATGCCCAGACTTCCCAAACTATCGGCGCGATGTTGACAGTTTGACTTATTTTCAATTCAACTTAAGGCTCGGATGCTTTGGACTCGGAATTTCTTTTTTATAGCCCAAAAAAGCCAAATTTGTTTTGTTTATTGAAATTTTTTTGCCAAAAGAATTGATTTTGGCACTATTGTTTGTCTTTGTTTTTTTCCGGCTTAGTTATCACATGACAAATTTCGTATAATTTAGGCAAGTTTTACCAAGTTAAATAATATTTTTAGTGTCTTGCAAATACTTCAAATACAAAATAAACAGTAGGGTAGCTGTAAGAACTGAATATTTGGGGTAGCTGAGGGGTAGCTGAGGGGTAGCTGAATATTTGCTCTGATTAGTGATGAATTGAGTATTGATATAAGACGAAAAATCAAAAATTTTAAAAAGTTTTTGTTTCTACCTTGAGATCTTTTTTTGAATGTGTTTCAACGGTTCGCATCACTACTCCAAGTGCTTTAAGATGATTTATCACTCGAACCCTTCTGACAATTATTTGTAGCACCTAATTTTGCTGCACCTGATGATCTCGAAAAGAAAAGAAGGAAAAAGTTGAAAACACACCCGAATAAAAAACTCCTGCGCATTTTCAGTGCTCGGAACAAAATCTCTTTGGAATATAATTTTTTTTAGAAATGCGTGGAAAAAATCAATTTTAATGGATAATATAGACCGAGAAATTGAATAATTTGTCATGACCATTAACCCATTAAATCATTTTTATGACCACTTTAACCATAATAAATAATTTTAAATCAAAAGTTAGTAATTTTGACAAAAAAATTGTTTTAAGCCGCAAAAACTCATGATATTGCTTTGAAAAAAATGATTACAGCTAATAAATATTTTGAAAGTATTAGCTGAAAACTTTCCACATTTAAATTCTTCGACTAGTCTTCAAGCATCATAAAGCTTGTGCGCTCAATCTGAAAAAACTGTATAAGACAAATTAAATTATGAGTATTTTTCGGTAAACACACATAACAAGAAATAAGCAATGTCAACGGTTTGCATAATCAAGATCACAAAATCAACTTGTTTCGGTACAACTCGTTTTTGAGAGAATTTCGCGCAAGCTAGCCACAAGAACCGGTCGGTAATGTCCTTGAGACAAATTGCTCTTTTTGGCGGTCAACCTTAATCAAGGCTGAACCGAATTAGAACCAAAAAACAGTTAAAATAGGATGTAACCCCCGTTTTTAGTATACTAATACATGGGCAGGTGGGGGACTCGAACCTACGTCAACTGTTAACCTGTATAATCGGCGTTAGCTTAGGCCACTCGGCCAACTGTGCTTATTGTTGTTACATTTTGGTTCAGTTTTATATGCATCTATACTCTACATTCTATACTCTACATTTGCATTGCAACATCCTCCCCCCCTGAAGAAGGAAGAACCGGAGCGAGCTTAACGGTCGGCCGCGTGACTTCACGGGTTGCGGTCCTGACAAGGGCGGATCGGGCGCAACCGTCCTGTCCGTAGTTTAGCTTGACGATTCGGGCGAGAGGGTAGTACCCACGCGGACTATCGGGCTCAATCACCCACACGAGATCGCCTGTTTTAAGAGTGAAGTCAGAATGAGTGTGCCACTTGACACGCTTATTCAGCGAGGGAACATATTCTCGAAGCCAACGAGACCAAATCGCGTTAGCATATGACTGCGCTCGCACGTACCTTTTCTTGTGATCGAAGTGCTCCCCGGGTAAAAGCGAAGGAAAGCTTGTGGCATGTTGTCCAAGCAAAAAATGGTTTGGGGTTAACGCTTCTAACTCACGTGAATCGGTACTAACGGGAGTGATTGGCCTCGAATTCAAAGCCTGTTCAACTAAGCAGAGTGTTGTTCCTAACACCTCTTCAGTGACTCGCCTACTGCCTAGGATATCGTACAGCACGCGCTTCACGCTTCGGACGAGGCGTTCCCAGGAGCCGCCATGATGGGGTGCGCCTGGCGGGTTAAATTTCCAAGTAACACCTTTGTGTGCAAAAATGGTCGGAGCCATGCCATTCCAGCTCTTGATGCAGGCAAGTAATTCCTTTTCCGCACCAACGAAGTTCGTGCCATTATCCGACCAGATTGTGCTTGGCGTACCACGGCGCGCAACGAACCGTTCAATGCCCATGACACACGAACTGGTGTCCAGAGACGGTACAATCTCAAGGTGTACAGCCCTGGTGGTGAGGCAAGTAAAAAGGAATCCCCATCTTTTTTCCGTGCTTCTGCGAACCGGAACGTAAAGCGGTCCAAAGTAATCCACACCCGTATGATTGAAGGGTGGTTGCTTGTATCCGAGACGTTCGACCGGTAAATCGGACATAATTGGCTGGATGGTACTTGCTTTGCGTTTACGGCATGTCACACATTGATTTTCGACAGACCGAAGTAGTCGACGCAACCCAAGTATTGCAAATTTCATATTTAAAACGGAGCGCATGTAATCTAATCCTTGATGAAAATGCTTATGGTGGAGGCTGCGGGCCAACAAACGAACTAAGGTATGTCGGGCATCGAGTATTATTGGGTGCTTAGTATCAAACTCGGTATCCACTAAGCGCACAATCCGTCCGGTGGAACGAATGATTCCAGCGAGACCAATAAATGGCGAGTATGTGGCAATTTTACTACTATTCTTAATAGGTTTGCCAGCGGTGAGTGTTTTTAACTCAACGGGAAAGGATTCCATCTGAGCAAGATGAATCAGTTTGCTTTCTGCAATATCAAGTTCAGTGGGGTCGGTGATTCGTAAGTCTTTACCACGAAAATGCTTATGTGAAGGCAACACCCTCAACATAAAAGCGACTACTCGTTTATATCTTGTAAAGGAACTGAACCTTTCCCAATTGAACCCGTGTTCGGGATGTTTTATTGATGTGACATCGGTGACGAAGGAAGATGATGTCTCCAAGCAATTATCAACATCACAAGAAGGACCCTTCAAACGAATTTTATTGATTACACGTTCGTCGGGTAAAAACGGCCAATCAGTAGTCCTGAGAATGCTCGGACCAATAACCCAGCTGCTATCCTTGAGGGCTTCCGAAGAAATCCCCCGCGTACCGGTATCAGCTGGATTATCGCCGCTCAGAACATGGTGCCACTCATCAATAGTGGTCGACTCGAGGATTTCGCCGACACGATTAGCGACGAATACAGGTAATTTTTCAGTGGAGTTTAGCCACTGCAAAACTGTTGTACTATCTGTCCACATAAAGACATGATTAATAGAGACGGTAAGGGCGGTCAGTATATCATCTTTTAGTCGTGTGGCGAGCAGAGCAGCTTGAAGCTCTAGCTTCGGTATCGATAGCGCTTTCATGGGCGCAACGCGAGCTTTACCAAAGATGAAGGATATTTGAGTTTTATGCGAGCTCGCGAGTCGCGCACGCAAAAAACCAACAGCACAGAAAACGTCCTGCGAGCTATCACCGAACATGTGGAGCTCAATTTGATCAACAGGCTCTGTGAAGTAACAACGGGGAATAGTCAATTGCCCTAAGAGAGGGAGACCGGAGTGCCACTCGAGAAACTTATCTCTTATGTCTTCTGGCAATTCGTCGTCCCAACTTTGACCACTGATTTTCCAAATATCTTTAAGTAAAAGACGGGCCCTAACTGTGTATGGAGCTACTAACCCAACAGGGTCAAACACAGAAGAGACGAAACTCAAGACGGTTGGTTGAGTTATTGCTTTATCGAGAGGACGATCCACGCCTCTGCTAACAACCAATGTGTCTTTCACATGGTCCCACTTAAGACCTAAGACGTGTGATGATCGTTCGGCACCGTTACATATTTCCTTGATGGGTGAAGATGAGGTTTCGGATTCCTCGGGGTTCATTGCTGAAGTGATTTCATCAGCATTACTGACAAATTTAGTCAAATTAAATCCTCCCAATTTTAGTAAGGAAACCAAATCGCGACTAGTTTTAATTGCTTGGGTAACGTTCTCGAATGAATCCAAGTAATCGTCCATGTAAAACTTTTCATTTACGACTGAGGCGGCCTCAGGGTATGTGGACATATTATCAGTTGCTGTTTTTTGCAACGCGAAATTGGCGCACGTAGGTGAATCCCGTGCGCCGAATATATGGCGAGTGTACTGATGAACTACCACATCGGAAGTGGTATCCTCCCGCCACAAAAAACGGAGCGAAATTTGATCGCGGGCAAGGACTCCTACCTGGAGGAACATACCCTCTATATCCGCGGAGACGGCGTACTTATGTTGACGGAATCGCAAAAGCACAAAAATTAAATTTTGGAGTAGGTCAGGACCCACCAATAAGGACTTATTTAAGGATGTGCCGTGAAACTTAGAAGCCCCATTAAGGACTCGGCGCACCTTACCCGGCTTATTCGGATTTACGACGGG